AAAGAGGGCGGGCTCCCGGCGCGATGGTGAGTACAGGGCCTTTCTCCAGGGCAACGGGTGCGGGGGGGGGGAAAAGAGCGGGGTCCGCTCCTTTTGCCCAGAAGGAGCCGCGCAAAGGCTGTGGCGCGGGGATGGATGGATGGATGGGAAGAGAGCGCAAGGGGACGAGAGGCGCGCGGATTCCGGGAGCGAGGACGGGCGGGATTGGGAACGACCGTCGCCCTGGAGGAAGGGAAAGAAAGGGCCGGAGAGGGGCCAGAAGGGGCTTCGAAGCCCGTCGGGCCTCAGGGGTCCGGGAGCAAATGACGGGGAAGGGTCGACGGTGGCATCCTTCCTCGTCTGCTCCCACCCGCCTCGGTACCCATCTGAGAGGCGGCCCCTCTCGAAGCGCAACACATGCCCCCCCTCTGCAGGTTTGATGGTTTCGCCTAGAGCGAGGCGCTCACGTTTCCTTTCCCGTCGGCACAAACTACCTAGAGCAGGTGAAGGGGGTGGTGGTGGTGGAATGGACAGATGGCTATGATGTCCTCCGAACACAAGCCGGATTCGGGCTGGCGTTGCCACACCGGCAGGCGCGCGTCCATGCCCACGTCTCGTGCCCCCCACCCGCGCCCGATACGTCCCCGATCCCCCTGATAGCTTGCTCTTGGCGGTTCCTTTCAGGACCCAGCCATCAGTCTCTCTCTGTCTCTGTGTTTCTCTGTCTTTGGCAGTACGGCTTCGTCAACCACGCTTTGGAGCTGCTGGTGATCAGGAATTACGGCCCGGAGGTCTGGGAGGACATCAAGTGAGTAGGAGCCCCGCCGCCTCTCGGGCTTCACCTGCGGGCGCGCCGCTTCCCTTCTGCCCCCACCGGGCGTCGGGGCTGCTGCCCGCCTCGTTCCAGGGGAACCCGGAGGGGACTTTCCCGGCTGACGACGCCGGGTCCCGCCGGGCATCTCCTCCTCTTTCTCTTGCTCTGATCTTGGATCGAGGAGAGGAGCGCCTCTTTCGCCCCGCGGGACTCTTTCCCAGCCCAGCTCCGGCGCAACCTTGGCCTGCTTCTCACGCTCTCCAGGGCGCAAGAGGGAGAGAAGCGCCGGCCCTCCCGGCGAGAGGCGGGGAGGGGACGACGCGACCCGGACGGATCCGGTCTCCCGAGCACTTCCATCCTCCTGGGATCTTTCCCAGCCCTCACTTGCCTCCATTCCAGGCAACGGTTGTGCAGCTGGTGGGAAAAGCCTCTTGAGCCATGGTGGCTTCGGTGCCTGAGAAACCAGGCCCGGAGAGGAGGCTGTTGACCTCCCAGATGCTGAGCTTGGTGGGGAGGATGAGAAAGCCCCGGGACAGATAGGATCCCGAGGTTGCAGTCCCTGTCCCCTTGCCTTGGGAGTGAGGCTCCTGGTGCTTGGTTGGATGTCAACATACCATGAATTTGCAAAATCCCCTGTAATCCCTTCTAACCCTTTGAAAAACAAAAATCAAAAAAGTGCAGTAAGATTGTACTTCTGTTAGAAGTAGCCAACAAAAATAGTTAAGGACCACATTTGTGAGGTTTCCCAAACTCTTATGCAGGTTAGATGTTTAAAAAAAAAAGGTGGGGTAGGAGAGCAGACCTTGACTAAGCCCATCTCACTCCCCCAGTATCAGCCAGACATGAAGAAGAATTCTGAAGAGCTGCAAAGCTTCCTAATTAGAATGTGCATTAGTTAATCTTAATATAACTATTACCTGCCTCTGTGTTATGCAAAGAAATTTGCCATACATTATGCCTGAACTTTGACTGGGACTCACTTGCTTTTCTTGTGAATGCTGTTGCTATAAACCAGGGATTGAAGCCCTAGTATTGTACATACAGTCGAATATCCATTCCTGCTGAATAAGGTATACATTCCAATTGCTGCCATGAGAAATAAAATAAACTCTTTTAATGAGGGAAGAGGAACTCCTCTATGCTGTTTTATCATGTCATAGCCTTTTCGATAAAAAAAAAAATCGGTAACATGAACTTGCTCTGTTCTGTATGATCTAACTTTCTGTTGTTCATGGAACACATGCCCACATTTTACTTTACCACTTTCTAAAGCTTTTCAGTTTCACTTTCCTTCATAAACCACATTTGTTCCTCCTTTGACATAACTGTGGGCTTATTGTTAATAAACAGAAATAGCACACTTCCTGTTTCTTATACCGTCTTTTAGATTGCTTTGGTAGTTAGAATGTCAGATTGGGATTTAGAAAGCCTGAATTTAGACACCACTCAACCATGAAGCTGAACAGGAGTCCTTGAGTCAGTCAAACTCTCTTAAACAGAGTGGTGTGGAGAAGTGGAGCCATCAACATTGTCATGAGCTCATTGGAGGAAAGGCGGGATGTAAACATAAATGATAATCATAATATTCTTTCACATCATTTTTCATAAGCCTTTTGCGTATTTTCTCAGTTGAATATCCTGGCTTCCAAATGGCATCACTGTGTATCTTGTATACACATGCGTGCATCTTGTGTATGCATGCACAGGACTACATGTTATTCCATTCTTCAAAAAAAAACAAAACCCCTCAAGTTTATGAATATAGGATATTGTGCTTCTCTATCCACAATTCAAGATGTCAGGAAATAACCTTATATTGTTGCACAATATCATGCTTGTGTTGCCAGCAGGAAAAAGGATGCCAAGCTTTACATAACAAAGGACAGCCTGAATGTTGACAACACCAATGGAAGCAGTCAAGATGGTCTACAGGACACCTTCTTGTGCTCACTACCATTCACAAAGTGACACATGTAAGGCAAAATCCCTGAAGCTGACTTTTTTTCATCAGTTGACTATTTCTCACCCAAACACAAAGCAATTGTCATGACTCCTTTTTGACAAGTGTGAATGGTAGTGAGCACAAGATGGTGTCCTGTAGACTAGTGGTTCTTAACCTGGGCAATTTTGTTTTTCAGGGGGGCAATGGAAAGAAAAGGGGCAATGCATGGGCAAAGGAACAGAAGGGGGCGATATGGGGGTGATGGAGTGAGAAATTTTGGGGACACTTTTGAGACATTTTTCATACAGTGAACTGCTGTATATCTGTCATACAGAAACATCAGATCACTCGCTATTAATGGATTGAACTGTGTTTTAAAATGTTCCTCAAAGGGGGGGGGATTCTTTCAAAAAGGTTAATAATCACTGCTGTAGACCATCATGCCTGCTGCCATTGGTGTTGACTACATGCAGGCTGCCTGTTGCTATGTAAAGCTTGACATCCTTTTTTGTTGCACACAATGCGGGCACAAAACTGCGGCAGTATTGGACTATTTCCTGGCATTTTGAATTGTCTATATAGAAGCACAATATTCCACATTCATAAATTGGAGGGTTTTGGAAGAATTGAATTTCCTGGCTTTTAAAAATAGAAGCTTAAGTATACATTCCTACACAAACTTGCTACACAAATTCCTACACAAACTTCCCTCATGTAGAAAATGAGCACATGATCTGTACTGTGGTTGCTGGGAAGGACAGAAGCTCGAATAGCTGAGATGTGGCTGTGGTCCTTCTGTGCCAAAATATGTTGGAGAGGTTGTTTGGGGTTTAATGAAATACTGTAGATGTGAGTAATTGCAACATGTAGCTAGGAGAAACATAGATACTGTTTAACCTCTCAGGTAAACTAATGTCGCTAAGCCTGCTCCTCAGAATGCAGACTAGAAAGCTATGTTCCAGTTTCCAAACCCTTTCCTTGGACAACATGAGGAAGAAAAGTTATATTGGACCAAAAGCACCATGAATGTGTTATGTGCATTTTTTTCCCCAAAACATTTTTAAAATAAAAAATTAGTTAATAAAATTTGTCACTGGAAACCAAGGTCAAAATCATTCATATTATGTTATGTCCTTACTGAAGAAAGAGCAGGACAAAAGTCATTTGAAATGTGTTGTTGGAGCTGAGCCTGACCAATACCACAGACAGCGGGAAAGGCAGAAAAGTGGGTGCTGAATTAAGTCAAGGTCAAATGTTCACTAGAGCAAACATGAGTCAACTGAGGCTATCTTACCGTGCATACAGTCAACCCTTGACTTACGAACGTCCCTACATAGGAACTTTTTGATCTACGAACAGCTCCGTTTGCAAAAATTGGCATCGATTTGCGAACAGAGCCTCAACCTACGAATGAGGTCGAGGCTCCGTTTGCAAGTCAATGCCATTATTTGCAAACGGAGCCATTCGTTGCCATCGGAGGTCTCAAAGGGCTTTCCCCCCAACATCGGAGGAAGCCCTTTGAGACCTCTGAAGAAAAAAGGGCAGGGAGAAAGGGTGGGAAATTTGAATATCCAGCCCTTTCTCCCTGCCTTTTTGCCTTTGGAGGTCTCAAAAGGCTTCCTCCAATGTCAGGGGGAAAACCCTTTGAGACCTATGAAGGTAATTTTTTGAAATGTTGGAACGGATTAATTCCATTCCCATGCATTTCAATGGAAAATGGTGCTTCAACTTACGAACTTTTTGAAGTATGAATGCTGTTCCAAAACGGATTAAGTTCATAAGTCGAGGTACCACTATAATGAGAATACACAACTAATCAGAAAAGACAGTATAGCTGGGGAAAAGGGTGGTAATAAGAAGACAGGAAGACAACATGAGACAGATTTTCTCAATAAAAGAAGTCACCACTATTAGTTTGTAAGACCTGAGGAGAGGTTACTGGAAAATACAATATTGCTAGGAACGGGAGTAGTAGGAAGAGAGATGGTGCTTGTTTGTAAAATTTGAGCAGAGCTGTTAATGATGGGACATTTTGGAGGTTGATTATTTTTTTTAATGTTTTGTAAAATATTTTTATAGCCAGACATAAAATCCTTTTGTAAGTTCAAATCCTGTTTGGCCAGGAAGGAGTTCCCTCTGAAAATATGTTAAGAGCCTGGTCTCAGAAATCCTGAGATAATTCTAACAGAAAAAACTCAGGACTGGGACAAACACTACTGATTTGTGCTTTTGTAATGTAGAAATACTTTGCATATGCCTTACAAAAATGTATGCTGATTTCCTGGAGATATTTGGCAAAATGTCTCCCTTTCTGGAAGGTTGTGACTCAATTACTTTTGTTAAACAAAGCCTGGCAATTTTTGTTTTGTTTTGTTGCGTTTTCAAAGAAAACCTGTCCTTTGACTCTGTTTCCGTGACCTTTCATCCCCCTAAGCCCATTAAGCTATAACAATGTATTGACTTTGCAACACTCCTGCTGATAAGCCTGTTCCACCCATGCTCAGCTTGTAACAAAGTCACTGTTTTTTCTTTTGAAATGACTTTTTCAGAAACAATATTTCAGCCCCTGCATCCTGGATTCTTTCTGAATTAAAAAAAAAGTGGGTGGGTGGCCTTTTCAGTTTATTTGAAATGGGTGTTTAGGGTCACATATTTCTAAATGGAAGAACAGTTAACAGCTTTACTTTTTTTAAAAAAATCACAACTCGAAAGTCCTTTGCCCAAACATCCCTAAACATGGCACACAACTAGAGCAGACTGTCTGCTACACCTGTGCTAAATTTACTGTTGATCCCATTTCAAAGTTATTCTTTAAGTGTTTGGGCTGCCTCCATTTTTAGAATTAGCTGGTGGAGATTTGCTCTGGTGCACAATAACATATCGTGCAGCTGTAATACACTATTGTGGAGCTGTAATTTAGCCTCTCAGTATTCCAGTTTCTTGGGGCTTAATTGGCACATTGCCTCTTGTGGAGAACACATGTCTCATGCCAGTGAGTAATGGAAAGACCAGGCCAAGCCAGGTGGGATAATCAATAATAATAATGATGGTG